GCACAATTATACTGTATATAAAAATATAAATCTTTAAAAAAAAAAAAAAATTAAAGTGCTGTTTTTACATTGTTCAAGTTAGGGCAGGATATTGACACAAATTTCACAATTCGATTCAATATTGATTATTTTGGATATCAGGTACAATACATGGCAAATTTTCTCAAGAAAAACAAATCTCAACTAATGCTGTAAACTGGGAGTCAGTTGTAGCCCACTATGCTTCATTAGCCTACTATAATATTGAAGGTAAAAATTACCTGATTTGTACACAAACACCTAAATTACACTTTTTTTTTATAATAATAAAGTTATCTGAAATATAAACATTTAAATGGTGGCTGCATAAAAACTTGCCAGATTTTTTTCAAACAACATGCATTAAATATTGAAAAACATAAAAAATTATAATGAATATGTAATATGGTGCATATATTAGGCACAATGCTCCTCTAGAGTTAATTTTTCTAGCTAGCTAACGAGTTTATGGGCACTGGATATGTTTTTTTCTGAAGTAAATGTGGCGTTACATTACATTGTTTACAAGCGTTTTACTGACGTCTTTCCACGGTTGAAACACCGATTGAGCGATTCCATGTGACATGATACGGATTTCGATAAGTTGTACTCTATCTTTTAACACACTTTCAGATGCTCGTTCATGTTTATTTCGCGCTGTAACTGGTATTATTGAGGCGGAAGAGAAGATCATGTGCGCTCCGCACTGCTGCTTCTCTTGAGCTGAGCTGAGCCAGAGCGATCTCACGCCACAGCGTCAATACACTATTTATGTTTTTGAATTTCTTAAGAAAATGGACCTAATTTGAAATCTGAGACTTTGTTTCATATCAATAGTAACAAAGCACAAAGATTATTGCGATTTATTGGATGGGATGCTCGCTACAATGTTCCATTCATTCATCAACTGATAGCCCAACGGTTCGTAAAAATCAATGAGAATCGAGAAATCAATATTTTTTACCTAGTTCAAGTAGCCTACATTTTTAAAAGTTTCTTCGTCGTCTGTTTTCCTGCGTTTTTTTAGCTGATGCTGCTGATTGCCATAACTGATTCTCTGGTGCTCAGGTGACAGGTCGCAATTTATTTCAATCACACTGCACGGAGCATTTTAGTCCTACAGGAATATCTGAACCACAACCAATCAGAGGCAAAGACCCACCCAATCTCTATCTCTGATTGGTTTAGACCACGATATGATCCAACCATGCGTGCAAGGAGAACAAAAGACTCGTTTGTGGAGAGGCAGCGGATGCGATTGCGATCATAGAACGTTAGGTGCACTGGTGCGACCTAGGAAAAATTCTTGTCGCACCCTTACAAATTTTGGTCGCACTCTAGAGCCCTGCTAAATCATAAACATGGCTTGCCCTACTGTCAGATGTTTGTGATAATGTGTTTTCCTCAGTGCACAACTTACATAGTACAGTTGTATACTTGCATGTAAATGTTACAAATTCACGCAAGTATTTCCATTTATTATCCTGACAGCAAGCGTGTACATGTTCAACTTCGCAGACTTCAATGAACAAGTGCCGGCGACAAATGCTCAAAACAAATGGAGTGGCTTAGAATGTCAGCACTGCAATTCTAACCTTATCCAAAAACATTTTGCTAACATACAGTATTTTGCATCCAAAGGTGTTCAATTACAGCACCATAAATTGTGCGGTGTGTTAGTTCCAGTTGCAACAACATTGACAGACTTTTTTTTATTTAAATTCAGACATAGTTTGTTCAGTAAACCACTGTTTTAAAAAAAAGTGTTTCGCTGGACCAAAACCATACCAAACCATGACTTCAGAACCGTCATTTTTGTGTACAGTTACACCCCAAGTAACTTCTAGTGATGGGCGGATCGATCCTGAAGTATCGATACTTCGATACTGACGTGGCATCGAAAAGGATCGATCCTCACATAAAAATATCGATCCAAATGTGTATTTTTTTTCCAGTAATTTTTTATTAATTTAGCACGCAATTCAGTGTGTAAAATAAGCTTCTAAGTGGAAAAATAAGCGAATGTTAGCGGGTAATTGTGTAGGATAGAACCTTTTCTCCTAGTCATCTGTATACAAGACGAAACCAATCAATCACAGAGAGCGTTTGATGCTGGTGCTTCGCTGAGCTCACAGGCCCAGTGCGTTTGGGAAACGAAGCCTTGCTTAGATGACAGAGAAACAATCGGGAGTTATTTCGCAATAAACAAACCAAAACTGTACATAACGGTTTAAAATGTTGACGTCAGTAAGATCTTTTTTATGAAATTAATATTTTTATTCAACAAGGATAGATGCATTAAATTGATCAAAAGTGACAGTCAAGGGTTTTACACTGTAAAAAAAAAAATCTACTTCATATAAATGCTGTTCTTTCAACTTTGTTCATCAAATAATTCTGCATAAAATGTATCATGGTTTCCAACAAAATATGAAACTGTTTTCAACATTGATAATAATAAGAAATGTTTCCTGAGCAGCAAGTCAGCATATTAAAATGAATTGACTGGAGTAATGATGCCAAAAATTCAGCTTTGATCACATGAATAAATTAGTTTACTATGGCATAGAAAACAGATAGCCTATGTTAAATTGTTAAATTGTAATATTACAGTTTTTACTAAGAGAAATAAAAATCTTACAGACCCCAAACTTTTGAACAGTAGGCTAGTACTATAATTAGGGTAGTTTTGTAAAAGTCACTGACTAATTAAAGGGGAGTTGAGAGCACAAATCACAAAATATTTAGGCCTAGTAGTCATGAAAACGTGTTCAGATTTAGCATATTAATGATGCATTCACCTCATAAATCATGACACACTGCTCTAGCACAGGAAAGTGCATACAAGTTCAAATGCATGCTTTTAAAATGAAAAAGTATCGGTATCGGTATCGATATCGGTGATACTGACCCTGTATTTACTTGGTATCGGATCGATACAGAAATTTGCAGTATCGCCCATCACTATGTTCCACACCATTTTGACTACCGTAAAACTTCAAATAATAGCCCGGGCTTTTATTTTCCCAAATCGTCGAACTGCACCGGCTTGTATTTGAGACAGGCGTCTATATGAGACCGGCCTTTATAATTTAGTGTTGAGATGTTGTTCATTGAGTGTAGGCCTAGAGTCTCTAATCTCTTAAAATCTACAAATGCTCCACGTGAAACTGCGGTCTTCCGACCTTTTACTATCGCGTCAATTGATTTTGATTAATATGCGCGAGGGAGAGAGAGCAAGACAGCGCTCGTGTTGTTTGAAGACGGGAGAGTGCGCGCGCGCGGCCGGGGCGCTCTCTCTCTCTCTGCTCGTAACGCGCCCTGTCAAGCGCAGCAGTCAATTCTACATCACTCGCCGATCAAAAAAGGCTTTGGCGGGACACACATTTGCTTTGGCGGCCGCCAAAAAGCGGACGATCGGACGGGTTTTAGAAGGTTAAATACAACCCGAAACTAAAAAACAGACCCGGCCTCTATTTGAGACCGGCCTTTATTTACCCAAACCTGCAGCCACACCAGGCGTGTAAAAGAGACAGGCGTCTATTTGGGACTCGGCTATTATTTGAAGTTTTACGGTACATACATGAATTACACCTCAAATTGTGCGGCTTTTGGGGAGATTCTTAACAAGGATTTGAAGGATTGTTCTGAGATCTTGGGATCAGAATGTTATAAAGAGGGTGGGCTGTTTTGACTCTCTTCAAACCACGAAACTATCACTTCAGAACACCCTAGCAACCTCTTAGAAACACGTTAAAAAACGAATCTAGAACATATTAGCAACCTCATCGTTGGAATTGTGAAGTTTTGAAAACGTAATTGAAAAAAATGTGTTTATTTTATTCCTTGTTAGAATGAAGCTATTTGTTACATTGCTACTGCAGTGTTTTTATTGCGGTTTTATTGCTGGTGTGCAGATGTTGTAGCCGGCAGGCTCACAGTAAATAATCTTGCTGTGTTCTTGTTGCTTTTCCGTTTTGCAGTAATTCAAGTCTAGCCATTTCAACCGAGACCAAAAGTGGTTCAATGTGCCTATACCATACACATGGCTAGAATGACAGGCCATTTTGTCACCTAATAGAAAAAGCCTCATCCCGATGGGCCATGAATTTGCTGCCCAGGCCGCTCATTGAAATACAGGAGTGATTTGTCGGCTGAAATGCTGTGCCCACCTATAGATTACCAATTGCCTCCACTCTCCAACACATAGCTGCGCTACACTCGTTTTGTTAACCTCCATTCCTCATTCTTCATACAAACACCTTTCAGTTTGTTTGCTGTTTGTTCAGTGAATAGCAATGACACCTCTAAAATTACCTGTCAGTCACCACCCCCTCGTCACCCAATGGATATTTGAAAAGCTCGATTTGTTTTATTTGTCCTGCTAACCATATAATAGTGTTGCTTCAACTAACTCTGGATGCAGAACATTTTTTTTTTTTCAAAATCTAGTCCAGTGGGATTTCATGAGGGTTTTCTATCGCTTACTCTTATCTTCCCTTTATTCATTATAAAGGGAAGTTGTTTTTGTTGTGGTACCACTCCCGATCATCCTCTGTCTCAGTCAGTTGTTGTGTGGAATTGAGAGCTGCATCCTGAATTCAATTTCAGCAGCCACTCATGTATGAAGCCGGAGACAGCCGGGCTGAAGCAGACTCTTTCGTCCGGTCCTGCCTCTGAGCTTTGCTGGCCCACTTGAAGGCCAAAATATCATCCCACCACTCAAACGAACAGACTGTGGGCAATTTCGGAAGGGGATGGCTGTACGTTAATGAGGCTTTGGCTTCTTCTGCCCACTGCATAGTAATGTGGTTAGATTAGAGGGTGCTTCAATTTTACGGAAGACAAAACAAGTGATTTGTTTAGTCTGAAAATACGGTTTTGTTGTTTTGCCGCAGGCAAAGTTGGAACACATTACATTTAAAAAGAACTTGTTTTGTCTCCTGTTAAGACCGTTGCCTCTTCTTGTTTTTTTTCTTCAGGTCTGGAAGTGGCGATCTACAGATCGAGTCTCTGACGTATGTGGACCAACTTCCAGTGGCTGAAATTATTCATCAGGTAAGTCTAATTGTTAAATATTGTTGGAATATGTAAGTGAGGAAATGGTTGATATGGTCCATGATTGTGATCGTTTTAAACGTACAATTGATTATTCATAAGATACGTATTTCTTCTTCAACTTCATAAATCTATCTTCCCTAAAACAAAAAATAAACAAAGAAGCCTTTTTTTTCTTCACTATACTGTTGTGTTATATTAGTCTGGCATGAAATTAAAGGAAATTAGTTAACACAGCTGCAGTGTGGTTTTAAGTAGAGCTGTTAAGGGAGTGACTAATTTTGACATCTGCTTTCTCAAACCATTGTTTTATTTTGCTGTTGTAGCAAATGCAAAAATGATATTTGCTATGCTCTTCCAGTCATTTAGCAGCACACCCTAATATAGTTTACTTTCGAGTGCTATTTGCATATAATTTACATCTGATTATTTATTAAAGGGATTGTTCACCCAGAAATTTTATATTCTGTCATTTACGCACCCTCATATTGTTCCAAAGCCGTAAAACTTTCGTTCATCTTCGAAACATAAATTATCTTTATTTAAATGAAATTCCTCCATAGACAGCTACGCAACTACCATAAAGAGAGTGAAACTAATCCATATGAATTGAGCGGTTTAGCGCACATTTTCTGAAGAGACATGATCACTTTACACTCACCGGCCACTTTATTAGGTACACCTGTCCAACTGCTCGTTAACACTTAATTTCTAAGCAGCCAATCACATGGCGGCAACTCAGTGCATTTAGGCATGTAGACATGGTCAAGACAATCTCCTGCAGTTCAAACCGAGCATCAGTATGGGGAAGAAAGTTGATTTGAGTGACTTTGAACGTGGCATGATTGTTGGTGCCAGAAGGGCTGGTCTGAGTATTTCAGAAACTGCTAATCTACTGGGATTTTCACGCACAACCATCTCTAGGGTTTACAGAGAATGGTCCGAAAAAGAAAAAACATCCAGTGAGCGGCAGTTCTGTGGGCGGAAATGCCTTGTTGATGCCAGAGGTCAGAGGAGAATGGCCAGACTGGTTCGAGCTGATAGAAGGGCAACAGTGACTGAAATAACCACTCGTTACAACCGAGGTATGCAGCAAAGCATTTGTGAAGCCACAACACGCACAACCTTGAGGCGGATGGGCTACAACAGCAGAAGACTCCACCGGGTACCACTCATCTCCACTACAAATAGGAAAAAGAGGCTACAATTTGCAAGAGCTCACCAAAATTGAACAGTTGAAGACTGGAAAAATGTTGCCTGGTCTGATGAGTCTCGATTTCTGTTGAGACATTCAGATGTTAGAGTCAGAATTTGGCGTAAACAGAATGAGAACATGGAACCATCATGCCTTGTTACCACTGTACAGGCTGGTGGTGGTGGTGTAATGGTGTGGGGGATGTTTTCCTGGCACACTTTAGGCCCCTTAGTGCCAATTGGGCATCGTTTAAATGCCACGGCCTACCTGATCATTGTTTCTGACCATGTCCATCCCTTTATGGCCACCATGTACCCATCCTCTGATGGCTACTTCCACCATGTCACAAAGCTCTAATCATTTCAAATTGGTTTCTTGAACATGACAATGAGTTCACTGTACTAAAATGGCCTCCACAGTCACCAGATCTCAACCCAATAGAGCATCTTTGGGATGTGGTGGAACGGGAGATTCGCATCATGGATGTGCAGCCGACAAATCTGCGGCAACTGTGTGATGCCATCATGTCAATATGGACCAAACTCCCTGAGGAATGCTTCCAGCACCTTGTTGAATCTATGCCACGAAGAATTGAGGCAGTTCTGAAGGCAAAAGGGGGTCCAACCCGTTACTAGCATGGGGTACCTAATAAAGTGGCCGGTGAGTGTATATGATGAACAGATTAAATTTAGGCTTTTATTCACAATTGATCAGCGAACCTGAAGAACAAAACTCATTGGTTCTTGCGGAAGCTCAAACGTGCTGCGAACACGAGAATGAACCTCATTGGTTCTCACACGTCAAGCGAACATGCTTGAGCTTCCGTTTAGCACAACTGATGTGTGAGTTGATGAATGCTTATGTGAATACAAGCCTAAATTCAATCTGTTCATCATGTTTAAAGCGATCAAGTCTCTTCAGAAAATTTGGATTGAACTGCTAAATTTTTACGGATTAGTTTTACGGTCTCTTTATGAACTTTTTGAAGTATCAAAGTGGTAGTGGCGTAGGCTGTCAATGGAGGGACAGAAATCTCTCAGATTTTATCAAAACGACATGAGGGTGAATCAGTAATGACAGAATTTTCATTTTTGGGAGAATTATCCCTTTAAATGATTTTATTCTCATCTCTGCATTCATCTAATTTCATAAAATGTTTCTGGCCTTAAAGAGGTCCATTTCAAGCATTTACATATCGGCACAAATCCTTAGTAGCACCTCATTGCAGTACATGAGATCCAGGGGGCGGAGTTGGATCCAGATCTAAGGGGTGGAGATGGGTAGGATTAGGGGTGGGGTTAGGGATCAGGGGGCGAAGATGGGTAGGTTTAGGGGTGGGGTTAGGGATCAGGGGGCGGAGATGGGTAGGTTTAGGGGTGGGGTTAGGGATCAGGGGGCGGAGATGGGTAGGTTTAGGGGTGGGGTTAGGGATCAGGGATCAGGGGACGGAGAAGGGTAGGTTTAGTGGTGGGGTTAGGGATCAGGGGACGGAGATGGGTAGGTTTAGGGGTGGGGTTAGGGATCAGGGGCGGAGATGGGTAGGTTTAGGGGTGGGGTTAGGGATCAGGGGTCGGAGATGGGTAGGTTTAGGGGTGGGGTTAGGGATCGGGGCGGATATGGGTAGGTTTAGGGGTGGGGTTAGGGATCAGGGGTCGGAGATGGGTAGGTTTAGTGGTGGGGTTAAGGATCAGGGGACGGAGATGGGTAGGTTTAGGGGTGGGGTTAGGGATCAGGGGCGGAGATGGGTAGGTTTAGGGATGGGGTTAGGGATCAGGGGTCGGAGATGGGTAGGTTTAGTGGTGGGGTTAGGGATCAGGGGTCGGAGATGGGTAGGTTTAGGGGTGGGGTTAGGGATCAGGGGTCGGAGATGGGTAGGTTTAGGGGTGGGGTTAGGGATCAGGGGCGGAGATGGGTAGGTTTAGGGGTGGGGTTAGGGATCAGGGGTCGGAGATGGGTAGGTTTAGGGGTGGGGTTAGGGATCAGGGGCTGATATGGGTAGGTTTAGGGATGGGGTTAGGGATCAGGGGGCGGAGATGGGTAGGTTTAGGGGTGGGGTTAGGGATCAGGGGCGGAGATGGGTAGGTTTAGGGGTGGGGTTAGGGATCAGGGGTCGGAGATGGGTAGGTTTAGGGGTGGGGTTAGGGATCAGGGGGCGGAGATGGGTAGGTTTAGGGGTGGGGTTAGGGATCAGGGGGCGGAGATGGGTAGGTTTAGGGGTGGGGTTAGGGATCAGGAGCGGATATGGGTAGGTATAGGGTTAGGTGGGAGGAGTTGGATCTGGATCCAACTCCTCCCTCTGGATTTCGTGTTCTGCAGTGAGGACCATCTCCAAATCCTTGCAAACCACCTAAAAATGAACCAAATCGTTGAAGTGGACTGGACACTGACTACCGTATTACTTCTCTGAAATTTCTGCTTAAATCTAGAACATATTTCAGTATCCTTTTTCTTGATACTACCAGATATTTTCCAGGGTGTGATAAAGGGATTGTCATATTCAATTGTGAATGAAAAATAAAAAAACCTTCTGTCAATTTTTTGATACAGTGATTTTTCTGTCTAAACCCCAGTGGCTTTAAGAAATCATCTGGAGGACTGCAGAATATTGCTAAAGATTCAGGCCTGTCATGAGTCATGACTGTCTTTAGAGTGATGATATCGAACTGTCATAACGGAGCTTTGCAATGACATTCATACATATGTGAGTGTTCTATTCGGGATAAAAAGACAGTGTGAGGCAGTGTGTGTATATGTAGCGGGATGAGTCGTCCCTCTAGCATCCGTTCACTCTGTATTCGGATGATTGGACTCTCCCTCCCACTGCGTGCTGGACTCTATTACTGGCCTCATGCAGACTACATAAGAACCTTTGATCTTTCTATCTCCATCTCTTCTTTCTCTTCATCATTTTTTATTAGTGCGAATGTTAAGCAGAGACTCTCTTTACTGATTCCTTTATTAAAACATTACTTTTGATTCCTTTATTAAAACATTAATTCTGGACAAAATGCCCAAGCATTTAAAATGCTTGCTGTCTGAACACCAAACACTATGATCTCAAATTAATTGAATATCTCAATGTCAGTGTTTCTTAAATCAGTTCTTTATTTGCCATTCCCTGTTTGTCCAAACACTTTAATTTTCTCTTTTTACTTTTGCACCTCCACAGTCTTACACTGTTTGATTTTAGCCCATTCTTTCTGGCAGATTTGCTTCAGTTGGATGGTGGTTGTGCGCCACAATTTTCAAACAGAGCAAAAGATTCTTCCTAGGTTTCTATGAAGAATATTAGTCTTTTATAGGGTGCTGTGGAGTATGTTAACCAAATATAGTAAGATACAAACCAGCTTTGAGCAAAAGTTCCTCTCCTACATGGTTATAGGGATAATGGCTAAGGCAAAAACCTCATTATTTCTAAAACTCTGATTAAGATTAAGAATATGATCAAACCCCTAATACTGTTTCCTAACTAAGCATAATGCAATAAAAGATACTTTTTTGTCCTAACCAGCCAAAAGTAAGAAACAACAAACAAAACTGTGAAACAGTAACATGACATTTTGAGGCATTGTGCTAAGTAGACCCTTACAGAAAAACCACATGAATTTCCAATGTTTCAATTTCATTCGAATGAGTTTGCCCATGTGAAATTTACATTTTAAAACTACACGTGAAATATGTTTTTGTTTTTTGTTTTTTTTGTTCACCCGCCCACAGTGGAACTTATGGGCCAAAATCATGCACCAACAGTTGAATATTAAACATCAAATATGTTTTGATTGGACCTGTGGTCGGAAAATGTACA